GATAGATAGATAGATAGATAGACAAGTGTAGCCGTGACAAGTACTGTTTGGGGGAGGGAGAATTGGTGAAAGTCCAGATCGTGACATGGCGTGGGTGAATGAGAGGTGCCGGCCAAAAAGGGATAAAGGGAAAAGGAAAATAGCTGTATTGAGGTCGTTGACTGAGAAAATGCAAATCTTCTTCGCTTTGCCATGGAAACACCAACTTGACAATATGAGGGACTGTGTGTTGCACATTAATGTGCGCAAAGAGGTTGGAGAAGTAGAGTAAGTAGTGAGCAGGCGTGGCACAAAAACTCTGAACAACGCGAACTGAGAGCAAGAAAAGGAGAATTCATCGCAGAGGCGATATTCAGGCTGGGCTGTAAACCGGTAGACAAAGACGGAATGTAACCATCTCAGCGAAGTCTTGGCTGAAGGAGAGTGGGATCAAACTGACAAGCACCGAGGACGAGCCAATGCTCGATGCTCAAGCTACCAATCCGACGGGTGAGAGAGTCTTGGCTGTGAGAAGAAGAGTAGAGGACAGAGGCCAGCTTGAAGTGATGCTGCACAGTTTCGTCCTGCTTATGATGCGGTGTTGCCTAGTCGACCAGACATCAGAATGGAGATGCAGCGATTGGAAAGAAGCTGGAATCAAATGGGAAGATGGGTACTCACAGGGTCAGCCATTTGGAGCGCAGTCGGTTCAGGCAGCCAAAGAATGCAGCATTGACATCTGTAGGCAAAATGGACAAAATGGTACCAAAGAGTGCCAGTAAGCATAGCATTTGGGAGAAGAATTCGTATGGACATTGTCAATTTATGCATTTGCCCAAGTGAACCGCGCACGCTGAATGCTTCCAGACAGAAGCAAGAGCATGAATACTTATTTCGTTTCAGCTAACAAGAGAACCGCTCGTTGCATCTTCCCACAATCTTGTGAGTAGTCCTTATGAGTAGTCTCTATTCAATTGCTGATTGCCTCACCTCATTCCCTAAAGGCAGCATCTGCCGGGCAGGAGTGGACTGCAGTTTCGACCTCGCTCGGATCTTGCCAGCACCTCAGGCATGACTCGAGCCATGGCAGTGCAGCGTGCATTCTTGACACTTGAACCACCAGGCGGGTGTGAATTCTCGCCATACCCCATTCTGTGGTGGGATTGTCGAAGAAGCAAAACTGCATTTGCTAGAAGCCAGCTAATAAAAGATTTCTTTTTCCTTTTTTTGTAGGTTGGATCTTGTGCGTTGACGACAAAATGTAAAGTGTGAATTCTCGTATTAGAGTAGATTATTGAGACTACCAGTAAATCAGTGTACTGAGATGTATTCACCTTATTTCGTCTAAGGTGATGAAGGACTGATAGTAGAATTTTCCCACAATGACATGAGTTGAGCTGACGTTTTCATTCAATTTCACATAGCCTTGCTTTCCCAAAAGGTGTTCTCATTCAGGGTGGACTGTACATCATTGTGGGAAAATACTGCTACCAGTCCTTCATCACCTTAGACGCAATAGGGTGAAGTGTGAACAACAGGAGTCTTTAGTTTCCGGACAGTGGATATTAGAACCCTGTTTGGGGCTAAAAGTCCAGTGTGACGGTGAAAGGAGTGTCAAGCTATGGGTTAGATCAGACTTTTTCACACAACTTCTTGATAGGCTAATGATTGGGGTATGGAGATGAAATAACTTACCACATGCTGGCAGCGTTGGAACCCGATGATGGTACGGTGGTCGCGTGCGTTCATGCTGGAAAGGTGAATGGATAAAAAGAGAGCGACAATCAACAACGAGCTGACAAAAAGGAAAGACACTTTTACAAGAAATCGGGTGCAAAGTATGTTCCCTGACAAATCGCCAATGCCATTCTGCTGTGGAGAATAGGAGCATAGTGAAATAGGAAAAGTGCACGTTTTACCATGTCGCGACTGCAAGCCTGCTCAACCGACGACATTTGTAGCGGTTCGGTGTTCCAGTTGGCATCCTTTTTAGGAAAAGTTAGAAAGAAGTAACTTTTGCTGGCGCCACTTCGTTGACGGCTTCAGTTATGCAGGCTGGGAGGCTGGATTTCGACGAATCTCTCGTGGCCAGAATGTGTTGTTCTGCCGATGCACCAGCCTCCCGTCCAACGAGTTAAGACAATCGCAGCATTTTTCACTGTCCACATTTGCTTCGAGTTGAGCTGACCTGGTTTTGGCGGATGTATTCCGCAAAGACATTGTCCTTCCTGCATCCGCATTCATCGCTAGCAAGAGTCCTTCCAGCATCGGGCGGTTGACCGGATTGCTGTGAACACTTTCTTCTTTTCCTATGAACGTGCCTGATGAAGAGATTCGTGGGTCCATCTCGCCGCGAAACGACGACCAAGTCCTGTTGGTCTGCAGCCATTCGGCCTTAATACGAGCTTCAGTTCGACCCAGTTCACGAGGCAGCCTGCCTCATTTCGAGTGAAAACGGGATAAACCAAACTGTCCTATCAAATGAATGGCTCCACAAAAAGGGATTCATACAAACCCAATTTGTCTTTGCAAATACAAGTGATCGTAGAGACTTCGAAGGGTTTCGCCGATATCAAACCAGACAAATGACAACTTGGCACTGACGAGTTGTAGTTGAGGGCTAAGGACGACCCCAATCACCGAAGATATCGGCTCAAATCTAGAACGGGACATTGCAAAAGTGGCAAAGGTCGCAAAACGGAGCACATTCTTGGGCATCGCCATGGAAACGGAGCTACTGAATGTGAATGGGGTTGCATCAGCAAAAGGCGAAAACCTATCCAGGCTTCAATTAGTTTGATAGCTTATCTGATCTTTCGCTTTGCAGTGGACATTCCGCAATCTGCAAAATCTGAGTTGACAAACATGCG